TGAAAAGGAATATATACAGAAACATATATATACATACATACATATATATTCCTTTTCGTTATAGGCTATTACAAGGTATATATATATGTGTGTGTGTGTGTGTGTGTGTATGTATATAACTGAATCACTATGCTGTAGATCAGAAATTAACAAAACATTGTAAACCAACTGTACTTCAATTAAAAAAAGGTATACAAATTCCCAGAGGGATACCTTATTAAAACCGAATGCATCTCATTCTATTAAATACAGTGAACTTTATTCCAGGAATGGACATGAGTTTTCATCCCCTCCGTCCCCTCTCCTCTCTCCCTCCACCAGACCTGGCATTAGGGCTCAGCAGGAAAGGGAGAAGGAAGGAACATCGAATCCTGGACGCTGGCCTCTGGGTGCCCCATGTGGCAGCCACCCACACTGTGCGACGGCTCTTCGAGTCCCCGTGTCCTTGAAGGTGGCCCGATGACAGGCCTCCCTCCCCTTGCTCTGCTCGCCCCCTTACGTGCCAGCCGACTGCAGAAACCTGGGGGGCTGTGTTTCCATCTGACCTGCTCAGCGACTGGAGCAGACTGGGGGGTGGCGTGGATCGGTGTGATAGCCGGGATCAGAGCTCAGGATTGTGGCTAGATCCTGATGCTGGAGCTCAGAGGGCAAAAGCTGGTAGCTCTCGGACCTTACAAAAATGGAAAGAGCCGCTTTTTCACAATATAGAGGACTGTAGCAAGAAAGAGGGCCAGAGCAAGGAAGATGAGAAGCTTGTCTGTCAGCTCTCGGCGATTATACTTTGTGATGAGCTTCCGTCCCAACTGGATGGTCCCCGACATGGACTTAAATTCTTCGTTTGCATCCAGGATAGTCCGGGAAGAATTAACTGAAACAAAGGAGGAAGGAAGCCTGACTCAGAAACTGCACAGCACCAAGTCCAAAGACTCTGCTCTGCTGGCTGGGTCCCCAGTAAATAACACCGCACTCAGAAGCAAGTTCTTCTGAGCCAGAGCAGAGGATGTGAACAGAGGCCATGCAGAGGAGCACGGAACAGGACAGAGCAAGGGCAGGCACTTCCTTGGGTCCCGTCCAGCTCAGAGAGGGATGTGGTTTGTTGACATTCAATGTCAGGGGCCATAAGTAGCAGTCCTTCCAACGTGGACATCACCAGGGCAAAGGGCAGAGGACGGTTCCTCTCCTCACTCCGCTTTCTGAAGGAGGCAGGCGCTGCTAAGAACTGCCGGCCACAAAACTAAGACGGTGACTGGGGACAGGCACTGCGAGGTCCCCGTGGGGGCAGGGCTGGGAGGCAGGACCTCCCCCCACGAGGTGCACCCCGCCAGGATGCCTGCTGGTCACACCTACTCTTTGAGGGACAGTGGAAGGGCAAGGTGTCCTGCACTCTTGTCACAAGCCCTACACACGCCAGTCCTCCAGTCCTGGGACACTGGCTGTAGCTTTAAACGTGTGACACCTGTGCTCCAGCCCCTGCGTGAAACCTAGGAGGAGGCATGTGTCCCTTCAGGCTCACTTCACTCAGGTGTCAAATTAACTCCTGAGTGTGGGTTTCTGGGCCTGACACTCGGGGAAGAAGGTTTACGTGGTAAGATTCTCCTACAAAGCACAATAAGGCTTCAGAACATCCAAAGGATGAAACATGTTAAGAGAGAAGGCAAAGTGGGGAGGAGAATCCGTGAAATGTTTCCATTCGTGTAAGAAAGAAGGGGATAAGTAATATTTACTTTGCTTGCGCTACACATGATTGCATAAGGATACGAAAGAAACTGGTAACAGCCTCTGGGGAGCAGACCTGGAGGCTGGGGGCCGGGGGGGTGTCAGAGGGAGAGCTGTCTTTCTGTTTCCCCCCGAGACCGTCCAGGGCTGTGCAACCTGGTGTGACGGCCACTAGATACACATGGCACCTGCGTGTATAAAATGGGTCCCAATCCAAACTGCAATGTCTCCACGGATAAAATACCCACATGATTTCAAAGATTTAGGGAGAAAAGGGAAATGTAAAGTATTTCAGTAATTTTCAATATGAATTGCATGCGGAAATGGTAAAAAATATATTATTACAATTAACTTCATATATTTGTTTTTACTTTTTTGAATATGCCTAATGGAAAATTTAAAGTTAGCATATGTGAAAAAATATATAATTAAAAAAAATTAAGTTACCATATGTGGCTCACATTGTTTCTATTGGACAGGGCTGGCCTGGAGGTTTTCGCCTTAACCATGTAATTTACATTACTGTTCCGCAAAATACAAGTTAATAAGCAAATAAAAGAAATTATCAGAGGAAACAGAGCAGCATTTTGAAAAACACAGATAAGGAGTAAAAACAAAGACTCTATACACAAAAATCCCTCTCGGCCCTTTCTCCATGCCTGCTGCCGTTCAGAAACCGTAGAAAGAACCTGTTAAATAATAACCTAATAGGCCTTTTCTTTTAAAACTTTCTTTATAGAGAATTTTAACCATCAAAAAAGTAGGTAGAACAGTGTCATGAAATGCCATGTCCCATCACTCATACCCAAGAACCATCAACTCCCTGCAATCCTGTCCCCTCCACCCCGACCCCCAAAATTCCTATGATTTTGCAGCAATTTCCAGACATCATATCCCTAATACTCTTTTTTTTTTTAACTCTTTTCCTAATAGGCTTTTAAATCAAGCTGAATTTGTGAGCCATAAGGAAAGGATTAAGAACTACATTCGGAGGAGAGTGTAGCTCAAGTGGTAGAGCACATGCTTAGTAGGCACAAGGTCTGGGGTTCAATCCCCAGTACTGCCTCTAGAAATGAATAAATAAACCTATCGCCACCCCCCCACCAAAACCATAAAATAAATCAATAAGTAAAATCACCTAGAAAATGTAAAGAAAAATAAGTTAGAAAAAATAAAAGAACTGCATTCTTTTCTCAACTGTCTCTCCTACAAAATATGCCCCAAGAACAACCCTCAACACCCCAACAAGCACAGACATACGGTCTGTTCTGATGCGTGTGCTGGGGAAGGGCGTCCTGTCACTCACAGCAGAGCAGAAAAGCCCTGATCCCAAGGACAGGCTGGCTCCTCCCTCTCATGTCCCCCAAGGCCTCTCCCAGGCTCGGGCTGCACTCCCCAGTGCACACTCAGAGGAGGTGACCAGCTGGTCCTGAGCCTAAATGCCCAGATAAGTTTCAAATACAGGGAGTGACCTTGGGGACAAGCTGCTTGCTTTCCTTTTGGTTCTGTTTGAATAGCGCACTGGAAAAAAAAAAAGGTTCAAGATTACAGATAATTTTTAGGGGTGATAATGGTACTGTGGTTTGGTTTTGTTTGTTTTTTGTTTCCAGTGTCTCTTATCTTTTAGAGAGACACACTGAAATAGTTACAGATGACGTCTGAGATTTGCTTCAAGTCGTCCAGATGGGGGCACAGTGAGGACAGAGTGAAACAAGACTAGCCGTGAGCTGACAATTTTTAAAGCTGGGTGATGGGTCCATGGGACTCATGTACCACGGTCTCCATCTCCGTGTGAAATCTTCCAAAAGTGTTTCAAGGAGTAAACTCTCTTCCTCTGTTTTTCCAAACAGAAGATCCTGGACAGAGCAGATTCTCTTCTGCATTGCAAGGGAGACATCATGGAAAAGCCACTGGAGAGAACCAGACGGTCTCAAGATGCCTCTTCTGTGGCCTCTGACTGTATCTTTCAAAAGGAGCTCACAGTAAAAATAGCACTGGGGAGCACCGTGGTAAGCGGAGGTCCTAGCCGGCAGCCAGCACACTGACCCTCATTCCGGACAACGGTTCCCAAACCTGCCTGGCCACGGACATCCCCAGAGCCCTTGATGAGAAACAGGCTCCCCGGCCGCTCCCCCAGGCTTGCGGGTACCCACTCTCCAGGAGAGGGCCCAGGGGGTGGGGGGTCTCTGCTTTTCCCATGAGCCCGTGCAAGTGCCTCTGCTGGGGAACACAGTTTGATGGGGGAGGTGTGGATCTTGTAGCACAACTATAAAAACCAAAAAGAGAAATACGAGCAGCGTATCCCACCCTGGGGAAGGCCACAGTGTCAAAGGAGTAAGAAGCCACACAAACCAGTAAGCCTGGGGGCAGGGCGGGGGCAGAGGTGGAGGAGCCCAGGGTGCCGGTGCCGGTGCCGGTGCCGGGGCGAGGGCTCCGGGAGCAGCTTCCTGCCACAGGCCCGGCCTTACCCAGCGTCTGCATGGCTTCCTCACTCTGCTGGACCTGCTGGGACATCATCCTGCTGATCCCCATGAGGCTCTCTGTGATGGCACTGGACGTCTGGGCCAGGCTCTCTTTGGCGGTTTTCCTACAAGTCCAGAGTGGGAGAAGGAATGTCAACAAAAGCCTGGCTTGCAAGAAAGCCCCAGATTCACATGAGATCCCATTTTCTAATCTATCGAATTAGTACAGATTTTGAAAAAGATCACGATCAGTGGAGGGGAAGGCTGTGCCCAGAGCACGCCGCTGCGGGCTGCTGGGGGGGACGGAAAGCGGGGCTGCCTTCTGGGGGCGATCTGGCGATACGTGCTAGGAGCCTTAGGAATGTTCACGACTGAGACCTCCTTTGGAAATCTCTCCAAAGGAAACATCCAGAATGCGGATAAAGCCTTATGTCCTAATACGTGCCCTGGTGTGTTATTTACAACATTGACAAATGACATATAAACACACAAACAACGGACTAGTTAATACAAGAGAATACTATGTACTGTTAAAATTTTGTTTAAAGAGTTGTTTTTTTTTAAACAGGCAAGTCTTTGTGCTGTAATACTAAGTGGGGAAGAGCAGGAGACCAAATTTTATGTGTGGTACGGTATTGACTTTATAAAAAATATGGAGGGAAAAATAATGGGAGGAAGCGATATAACATAATGTTGGTGGCTAGCACAGTTACGACCTACTTTCACTTTGTAATTTGTATTTTTCTTTATCCTACCAACTCATTACAAATAAGCGAGCATTTTTTTCATACTTAAAAATATTACTTATATAATAGAATTAAATGCCAATTTTATGCTGAAAACAAGAGAGGGTTTACTACAGGGGGGGTCGCGCCTTGCCAGCTGCGGTCCATTTTATCACCACCCAGAGAGACAAAAAGATGGATACCTTTGCCGGAAGAGGTCCCCTCCCTGGAGCAGTTCTGCTTTCTCTAGGTTGTCAATGGCAATTTTGCAAGTGAGATTTGCCTTCCTCCATGAGGTCTGATTGCTGGAATCAGAAAGGTCGTGTGTGAGTTTCTGTTGACATCATCAGGCTGTCAGACAGTTCAAGTCACAGTAGTTCTTCCTTCCAGCAAGGGAGTGGTGCGGAAGGCCACCCAGGTGTGGCCCACAGAGCCCAGCCCCACCTCCCGCCACCCATTCCCCTTGGTTGCCCCGGCAACTGCTCCAGCTCAGGCCCCGGAACCTCTCATCTGGACCCTGGAGGCTGCCCCTGGGACGTTCTCCTACGGCTCATAACTGTCTCTGTCCCCCCAGGGCAGCCCGAGGGAGCAGTCTGGCCACAGCACGCCTCTGTTTACAGCCCACAATGGCTCCAGACTTGGGCAACATCCACTCTCCCCAGCTGGACACACGAGGCCCCGTTCCAGTTCCTCGCTACACTTTACTGCTCTGCCTCGGGTACTGCCTGGTTCAGTCCTCGAGAACCATGCCTTGTTCATCTCTGTATCACCAGATGCAGAACGACAGCCACTGACCCATCAGCTGCTCACATCAATATATGTAGTAGGAAGTAGAAAAATCATTAAAAGACAGTCTTCAACATTTCTTCAAGATTTGCTGTTCTTTACAAACCACAGACCAATTACAGACAACACGAACATACGGTATGAGCATGGCCCAGTCTGACATGATTTGTTCACTCTCTTTACCTGAGCTCCCTTGCGAGAAACAACTCAAATTTGGTGAAATTTGGAGATCCCAGGAGTTAAGAGTGTGTGGACAGACTATAAAAAAGTGAACTGGGCCCCTCAGAGAATCAAACTCACATTCTAGAACTCTTCTGCAGCTGGCTCAAATCAACTGAGCCAACCCCCAGAATATTTAAGAAGGCAAACGAGGGGACATGAACTGGCAGAGTGGTCCTGAACAGCACCTCTGTGTTCAAAGTGTTCAGGTGAACTCTCTGATGCCTGACCAGCATCTGCCACGCCGTCCCTAGCCTGGTATTTTAAAAGAATCAATTACATTTTCGATCTGTTTGCAAGGGGCTTCTGCTGGGCCCTGCAATGCAGAGATGAATGAGCCACAGTGCCTGCCCTCAAGGAGCTCACATTCACTGGGGAGAAAGCCAAGCAAAGAGGTATTTACCGTATAGTGTGATGAGCCCGATACCCAGCACGGTACTGTTTCAACGCACAACTGGCAAAGTACTAATTTACTGCTTTCTCTCCTCTACCCGGGGATTCCACACCATGAAGGCCACTCTCAACTTTAAACCCATGCTGAGCTGATTTTGTTGGTGTCACTGGCTAGACTCTATACAAGGGGTCCTCTTTACTCAGTGTGTATAATATGAGTCTCCACGGTGGTCTCGGGAAACAAAAGCCATCGTGACACAAAGTTATCACTCTTGAGCCAAACACCTTACCGTTGACGCTGGTCCCGCTCACCACGCACACATCCTTCCCTACTCACGCGAGCCTCCACCACGCCCCTGTCTGTGTCAGTTCCTTTCCTCCTGACCTCTGGGTGTTATAAACACAGCTGCCACAGGGGAGGGTGATGCTGGAGAACTACTCAAATCAGAAGCAGTTAGACCGACTGACAAGGATGAAGAGAAAACCTTTGAGGATGTGACACACTAGCGACTTCAAAAGAGAATGATCTGGCTACCAGGGGGCTGGGAAAGCTGATGGGGCCCTCAAATATTTTTGCAAGTATCAACCTTCTTTATGATTATGGTGCAAACATCAAATGTGAAGGATCAGGTACGGTTTCATGCTGTCAGACAGTTTTGTTGAGAAGTGCCCCAATTCAATAACAGGAAATAACACATACTTCTAATCATGTCATCAGGAATTAGTATACTTGCAATGAAAACCTCCATTTTATTTAACATAAGCTTATTTATGTTTTTTTGTTCATTGTTAAAGATAAAGCCCCATTCAGAACTTTCTAAATGTTGGTCCATTTTAAGTAGGTTCACTTTCAGTGGGCTTTTCCTGGTATCAATTCTCCTTAGATTCAAAAAGACCTTGTATTACAAAAGCAATCATGTTTTTGCTTTTTAAAACATAAAATACAGAATGTTAAATATGCTTTTGTAAACTATGCACAGGTCCACCCACCCAGCAGCCCCTGCTTGCCTGCTGGCTTTGAGAATTACATTCAGTAAATGACACGATCAAGCCAGCAAGTCAGGCTTACTGGGCAAACCCAGGCACAAGCTGCGCAGGGAGCAGGTGACCCAGCCGAGGTCACTGGCAGGAGGCCAGGCCCCACCTACCTGAGCATCTGCTTTTTGTGATTCTCCACTTCCTGGAGCAGCGCTTGCTTCTCTGACTCTTTGTCTTGCTCTTTAGCCGACTGCTCGAGCTCCTTTGGAGGGGAAAACAGCGCTAAGTTAAAATGATTTAAAAAGCCAATACAAAAATTGGAGAGCACTTCTATTTCTAGCAAAGTCATCCAGTAGCACTTGAAAACCCTTCTAGAACAGAACACTTAGGAATGCCACGTCACATGTAACAAACATCCTTTTACATAGATAGCTGAGTCTGCAGGAAAGTAAGGACCATCCCCAGGGCCACACAATGAGAAGCGAGCTAAGAGCTAAGGGGTCTTCCCAGGCGTGGTGTGAGGCTGCCCTGGGGCAGGAGATGCCCCCCGTAACCTAGGGCGTGCCTGGAATGCAAAGGGAAAAAACACCACTAAATAGGATCTCACTGATCGCACCCTTAGATATGATGGAAACATCAAACTGCTCTCTGTTTCTAAACGCTCACCCTCCATCTCTGCACACATCTCACTGTAGACGGGTAACAATTAGAGCTTTAGAGTCCATGCAGGGAGGGAAAGATGAAGCCTTGGCCACATGAGGCTGGGAACAGGAACTGAGAACACCGCAAAGCCAGGGCCACAAAGGGACACAGCCTCAGTGAGAAGATGAAGTAGGAGAGCGTCTGTCAAGCAGCCCAGAGAAGACGTGGAAGCCTGTCTTTTTTTGCTGTGGGTACGTGTGGCCAGAGTATATAAAGTATCTCCCCTGAGAATTCACAACCACGGAGCTGCCCTCACACCGATCTGGGGCTCAAATTCACCCTCCCCGAGGGGTTCAAGCACCTCTACGAGGAGAAATGAACACAAAAAGTGCTCCCGGAGTTGCGGTCATCCCGGGAGACCCAGTAACAGCAAGTGAAAAAAACTTTGAAGAGACTTGCCTCCCACCGAGGCCGCACAAAAGGCCCACAAGTCTGGTTTTCCGAAGAGCGCCCAGAGCCCGACACGTCCCAACAGCCGGACGCAAACCGGCCACTATGGTGAGGGGCAGCGGACCTAACCAGCAGCAGTCTGAGACGCACCCCCCCCGCAAGAACTTCAGGAAACAGAACTATCCGACAGACTATAGCTAAGGATGTACACCTCAATTCTCATGCCATATAGATTTTTAAAATTGAAGTATAGCTCATTTACAATATTGTGTTAGTTTCAGGTGAACAGTGAAGTGATTCGGTTATACATATATATATATTTCCAATTCTTTTCCATTATGGGTTATTATGAGATATTGAATATAGTTCCCTGTGCTCTGCAGTAAATCCTTGCTGTTTGTCTATGTTATATAGAGTGGTGTGTATCTCTTAATCCCATACTCTGAATTTATCTTTCCCCTCCCTCTCCCCCTTCATAACCATAAGTTTTTTTTCTATGTCTGTGAGTCTGTTTCTGTTTGTAAATAAGCTCACTTACATTATTTTTCAGATTTCACACATAAGTGATATCATTCATATGTTATTTGTCTTTCTCTGGTCATGACATATTTTTTTGTTTTCAGATCAAAACAAGTTCCAGTTTTAATCAAACTACTGATGAAAAGACATACACTATTAGCTCACTTACATACTAATTTACTTATTTACATGCGTGTTTTTACACTGATTTGTACACGATGGTCTGGAACAAGCATCTGTATCCACCATCTCACTAGCTCCCAGGTGACTTCTAACTGACGGCCAGAAAATTGCTCAGGTTCTCAGAATGTGAGCTGGGAAGGTTTTGCAAATGCGCTAAGTTAATGATTTGCTTAAAATCTAGATTCCTTGATGGAATGTAAACTCTATGAAAGTAGGGAGGCAGGGAGGGAGAAATGTACAGGCTCCCCATGAGAGGAGGCTTGGAAGTTCTGTCACAGAGAACGAGAGATAGTTCTAGAAGAAAAGAAAGGGGGTAAAGTAGTTCTCAAATTCCAGTTTGAGAACCATATACAAAGACATTCACACAAATACTTACACATTGTTAATGTCCAACATTTACTATGTTAAGAATGTCATCTTCTGAGGCTATGAAGCCAATTCACCTAGTATCACACAATCTTGCTGCTAATACACAAAGAAGACATTCATGGAAGAGCTAAGAACATCAAACAAATAGAAATCTTGTATGCATTTCCAGGTATAAACATTTAGGAGTTGCAGATTAAACTGGGATGGCGTTATTCATTCATTGATCATGTGTATAATAGGGCCTTACTGGGACTTGAAGAGCTGATGAAGCAGAGAGGGACATAATAAATACATACATGTATTGCTGGGGTTCAGGAAATAAACACTGGGTGAGCGCACAGAAACTTAACAAGAAAATACTTATACTTAAGGTGGAGGGTGTGGTTGGAGAATTGAAGCCATATAACTTGAAGAAAGGTTTTTTAGGGAATAAATTTGCTTTAAAAAGCAAAACAACAGTCCAAATAAATTCCCTTTGATAGAAAACTGGCTAAAAAAATTATGGCTATGAAAAAAGAACGAGGAGACTTCCTCACACTGATATGAAAAGATTTCTAATACACACTGTTAAGTTTTTAAAAAAAGCAGTGTTTTAGTCTGCTACCTTTTAGACGAGAAAAGGAAAGAAATAAGAAAATATATTTGTCTTGTTTAGTATCTGAGTAGAGAAACGATGGAAAACTACATAGGTAACAAACAAAAGCGGTTACCTGTTTGGAAGAGGGGAACAGAGAACAAACATGAGATCAGCTAGGTTCAGTGACACTGCTGAAACCCTGAAGTGTACTCCTTTGACAAAAACTGCACGTTGCCAAAATTGCCCTTGAAAATCCCTTAGGAAGTTAACACACAGGATGCAGACATACTGTTTCTCACGGTCCAAACTGCCAGTTTTGCTACCAGCTTTTGAACAGACTGTTTTCTTCTGTTAAGCAGCAACAGAGTTGTTGGCTGGCATTTGGGGCCATGTCATACAAAAAGTACAAGTCTTCAAATCCGAGGACCACACACAGTGAGACCAGGTGCCCCAAGACCCACAGGTGAACAGAGCCATGCCACCCACCCTGCCCTCACTCAGGGCACAGCACAGAAACACCTACGCTATTCAAACTGCTACTTTTCTCACTCTATTGTTTTTTGGAGACAGTACACATACCCTAGTCGAATTCAGGACTGTTACATATGCATATAATGTGACTGGAGACTACAGAAACAGAGAGGAGGACGCTGGGCTGAGTGACAGCAGGAAAAATCCCAGGAGACCCCGGAAATGGATTGAGGTGAATGGGATGGAGAGACTGGTATAGAACAGAAAGTAATTCAAATGACCTCAGTTTTCAAGTTGAAAACTTCCAAGGACGACGGTGTCCCTACCATCCACTTGTTAACACAGCTGGCAGTGCTCTGCATTCAAAGTTCCTCACTTTTACCTGGATAGCAGGTTAGCAACAGTTACCTCCACTGTCTAAACATTTACCACTCCCCTGTCTGACCATTCACTGAAGAACCAGGACAGCTCGCAAGCAGAGGTCAGTCCCAGGACCGAGTCCTGTTCATCGTTACCCACTCTCAGCATCTCAGCTCTGCAGACACTCACCTGGATTCTGTGCCTCAACTGTTGAAACTTCTCTTTCACTTTAGTATTCAGCTCAGTAAGTGCACTTAACGGTCCTGAACAATCTCGAATATCCTAGGAGACATTGAAGAGATGAGGGGGCCTTTCTCAAGACAATGAAATAAAATGATACCACCTGTGCAGTGAGCGGCAGCGTGGCCGACTGACTGTAATTCATCCTGATCTTTGCTGTTTACCTCTGCAACACAAGCAAAAACATGATAATTTACATTTTCCCCATCCCTCTTTAGATTAATTCTGAGCAAGTAATATAAAAGCAAAGAGAGAAACACAACTCTCTCTTGACTTCTTAGTTTCTGGAGTTTAACAAAATGCCACCGAGCCATTATGAAGACTTACAGTGGCTTGTACGTCTGACAAGAATGAACATCCAAGAGGTGGATGATCTTCCCAACACAAAAATCAGGGGGCTAAATCCCTGGCATCATATGACAAGATTAACTTCTTCAACTCAATCTAATTTTACAAACCGTCTTTTATAAATCACACAGTTTATAGACATGGTCAAAGGCAGAGTCGGAATTTGTTTCTGAACATTCAGAATTACCGGGGCCAGGTTTCAAAGCAGGCCATGGAGCCAGATTATGTGGATTCAAATTCTGGTTGCAACAATTTATTAGCTGTGTAACCTTGAAAAAGTTACTTGAGTTGTCTGTGCCTGTTTCCTCATCACACCATTACCTACTTCACAGACCAGGATGTATTTAAAGGGCTTAATAGAGGAGCTGGAACACGGTGAGAGTGCACTAAATCTAGCTATCATGAGAACCCGAATGTTACGGAGCGCAAAAAGAGGCTTAAGCAATTTTGATTATATGAAAAGGCAATTTCATTTGTATAAATCCTAAATTTATTTTTCTAGAATTGGCCCAGATGTTTTATAGCTTATACATGGGAAATGTGAGGTTCAAGCAGTTTAAATGTTTGCATCAAGTTCCCTCACTTGTCTGGATTACTCATCAAATCACACGTCCTTGCACCATGTACCAATTTAGTTTATTTTACATCTGCTTTCCGTGGAAAGCTTTACTTTCCTTCACTTTTTACCACAGCTAGTTGCAAACTGAGTTTACATCTAATGTTTAGTAACATTTGTTAAAAATGGAAACGATTTGCCTAAAATGATTTGTTTAAAACTCCTGGGTTTTTTGTTTTGTGTTTTTTGATTTTTTGCTAAACTCAAGGAATCATTTACATTCCTAACTCTTGCCTATGCCAACGGGTATACTGCTTTATTATCTCCTACCCTTAAATGGCTTAAGGCCAAGGACATAATTACCCAATCTGTTAAACGAGGGAGTAGACTCTGTAAACAGTTTTTTCTCTAGGTTGACTTTCCCTGTCCGGATCCCAGTTTTGCCATTATCTGCCTTTTGGTCCACGCCTTGGCACTTTAGTCGATTTCTTCATTTACAAAATCATAACTACGGTCAGGTGAGGTTCATTTCACCGGGCGCTACCCGTGCCAGGTGGCCTTTGGTGCCACGGGGCATCTGCTCCAAGGAGCGGGCCAGCAGGGGGCGGGGCTCATGGCCTCCAGAATGCTACCAAGTGATGGAGAGGACGGTGTCAGGAGGCGGGGCCCAGCAGGGTGGCAGGTGTGTCGTCAGGCGGTCGGGGGCGGGGAGAGGCGACGCCAGGGGTGGGTGGGGTAGGGACCAAGCGGAGCCCTAAAGGGGAAGCGTGGTCAGAGGCGGGGGTGGAGGGTGTCTCGGAAGAGGGCGAACCAAAGGCAGCGAGATGGATCAGGGCCAAGGGGATGGGACCAAAGCGGGTCGGTAAGGGGGTAACCGGCCATGGGGCGGGGCCAGCGACCTCGGAGACTAGACCAAGCGGGGAAAGCTCGCAAGTGAGGCCGCAGAGCTCAAGCTGGCAGAGCTTGGGTTTAAGGCTGCTGGACCCCGGCGGGGGTCCCGGGAATTAGTACCTGGATAAGCGCCTTCACCTCCAGGTCGAATTTGACAATCTCCTGGTTGCAGATCCGGACGTGGACATCCTGGGGAGCTGCCATGTTGGGGTTGCCGGCTACGGGCAGCCGCGGCGGCCAAGTTCCAACGCGTTTTCGCACCGCCTTCTTTCCCGGCCGGATCTCGCGGCGGCGCCCCCTAGAGCCCGGCCCGCGGCGAGCGGGGGCGCAGGCGCCGCGCCACGGGGACTTTCCCTGACACGTGGGAGAAATCGGTCCGCCTCTCAGTGTGGACCTAGTAAGACCGAGAGGGAGAGAGGAAGGAATTACAAAGAACGGTTTAGCAGTGGCCTCTCCCCATCTTCCGCGTATCAGCCAGTCGAGTGACTGCGTATTTTTTGCAGAGAAGGGAGGGGGAAAAACACTGGAAGTGTCAGTGGGGATGTCCCTGGAAGGTAGAATTAACAATTTTTTTTAGATTTCTTTAAACTTTCTTGTATTTTTCTTGTATGTTCTACAGTGAATATAAATTATGCCGTGAAAGGGGGAAAGATGACAGCTGTTGTTGTTATTACTTTTTTTAATGTATGGAATTCAGGGCAGGTCTCTGGGGCACCTCTGACGGTCCAGCCCAGGGTCCGAGGGATCTTTCTGAAACGCACGACTGATCCTTACCTCCCAGTTTATACAACCCTTTTCTGGCTCCCGGCGGTTCCTTTTTGTGTACAGTTGGATTTATTAAATTTGCCTCGCTGGAGCAGTTTTGATGGATTAATGTAGATGGAAATAATTAAGAGCACACCCTCCACAGATGGAGTATTTAGTAAGAAAAATAAAATCAGAGAGCCTGTAAGTTTCTTAGCTGGTCCTCAAGGGAATCAGCCTTGCCTCCTTCTGGGATTCTTCAAGCTCTTTTTGGATCTGTAGCCTTGGAATGTGCTGTTCCCTCTTTTTTTTTTTTAATTTTATTTATATATATTTTAATGGAGGTACTGGGGATTGAACCGAGCACCTCATGCATGCTAAGTAGGCATTCTACCACTGAGCTGTATGGTCCCCCTAACTGTTCCCTCTTCTTAAAATGCTTTTCCCCACTTGCCCCCACCACATTCACTTTTGTTCACTTCATCAAACAGATTGTGAGGACCTGAGTGCCAGCTGTTTCTCTTAATCCTCACAACCACCTTTGAAATAGGAAATAACCCAGCTTCACAGGTGGGGAGCTGGCTAAGAGTAGATCAAAACACAACATCCTTGCCCCAAGGTTACCCAACTTGAAATTGGCAGAGCTTTAACTGAAAGCTACATCCTCCCTCAAGAACCAAATACGGCCCCTTGGGTAGTGTTGAAGAAGCAGGGCTAAATGCTCCCCGCCTACCACTCCACACACCCCGCCTTAAGGTGTTTATCACCCCACTGCTCCTAATAGAGAGGCTGTGTATTGCAGGCTTGGGCATCTGACTTGCTTGAATCCTGCTTGACATCTACTGCACATCTCTGTGATTCAGCCTCCTCAGAGGCTAACTGGTGGTAATCACAGCGTTGGCTGGAGGATTAAATGAGGGAATATATAAAAAGCATCCAGCACAATGTAGCAATGTGGTACATGGTAAGCACACAATACGCGTTGGCTGCTAATATTACTGACATTTTTGGAGCACTTCCCTTGTGCCAGGCACTTTGGACTAAGTCCCTTATATGTATCATTCTAACCAGTTAACTGTCACAACAACCCTATGAGGTAGAATTATCCACTTTTTACCCATGGAGAAACAGGGACAGAGAGAATAATGACTTGCCCAGCACAGATAGAATTGCTAGGTCAACGGATACATGCATTTTCAAATTCTGATACACGCTACTTAATTGCTCTTCACAGAGGTTGTATCAGTTTACACTCCCACCAGCAACGTGGTACAAATGCCTGCTTTCTCACGGCCTCACCCACGCAGTGTGTTAACAGTGGGATTCGCCAATCTGATTAAGTGAAAAGTGCCGTCTGGTAATTTGCATTCCTCCTACCATGAACGAGATTGAGACTCATTCGTATTTACTCTCTGCTTGCTCTTCTGCTGGGTTGTCAGTCTTTTTCGTATCAGCTCCAAGGAGCTCTTTACATATTAGGAGCATTTGCCTTTAGAGATGAAGTCTATACTCTTAGTCTATAGAATTTTGACTTGACTTCTGGTTATTTTTGGCCTTAAAAAAGGTTTTATTTGAAATTTAAAAATTTTTGTTTCGCATAGAATTTGTCAGTCTTCATTTATGACTCCTAGATTTGAGATCCCAGTTAGGCCGTCCCTACCCATAGACGTTGAAAGGGATTGGCCACATTTCCTTCCAGTGTTTGTAATGTGGTTGGTTTTTTTTTTTAATATTTAGATCTTTACCCATTTTGAAATATATGTTGGCTTGTGGTGTGAAGTATAGAACCAACTTTACGTTTTCCAGAGGGTTACCCAATTGTTCCAACATTATCTTCTCAATAATCCATCTTTTTCTCACTGGTTTCAGATGCAACATTTACCACATAAATTCTTACATTTGAATCTACTCCTAGACTTTCCATTCTATTCTGTTGGTCTTTTCAGTCATGCATCAAATGACACTGTTTTAATATCATAGTTTTATGTGTTTTAATATGTTATGATTGAACACTCCATTTTTTCCCCATGTGAACTTTGGGTTTTTTTTTTATAATTGTATTGCTGTCTTATTGGGATGCTATTAAATTGTTTAACTTAGGAGGACTGACAGCATTATGCCCTTGACTGCTCCTGTTCAAGAACTTGGTTTATCTTTCCATTTGTTCAAGTCTTCTGTGTCCTTCATAGCATTTTTTTAAATAGTAATGACCAATGTTTTATTAGAAAATATTTATCTTGGATAAAGCAGTTTAAGAAGGGAAATTGTATTATTCCATTTCATATTAAAATATATTCCTCCCAAATAAGTCTTCATAGTATTTTAATGTTTTCTTTAGACCTTGTACATTTTCTGTTAAGTCCATTCCTGGCGAATTTTTAAGATTAAAAACCTAAAGAAACTGAGATTGACATTTTTCAGGTCACTCGAACGTTTTGGATCCTCAGATAGAAGCTCCCCATTTAAGTGTCACAGGGAAGAAGCCCCAAGTCTGTAGCAGTAGATCTGCCTGTGTGACCTTGGGCCCCTTTCCCATCATGCTTCTTGCTGGAAATTCCTCTGCAACTAACAGTCGCCAGTTGCATCTCTGTGTGACAATTAAAGAAGAAAATGTAGCTCCCCTTTTCTCCACCCTCCAACATATTCCCTTCTAATAGGAAAGACTCAGTTCTAAGCTCTTCAGCTGGAGGCCGTACTTGGGGGATAGACATGCAACTTGGTGACCCACACTACCAGGCACCGACTACTGGCAGTGCTGTTTTGCCTACATCTACTAGGTTTTGGCTTTAGTTCTCTCTGGTTTTCAGATTCTAAGCTCATTATCTTCCTCCTACACAGACACCCATCTAAATACTGCCTGTGACTTGGCCTGGCCCTCGCGGAGGAGTATGGATCGTCTGAGTGCTGCACGCAGACTGCGCTTTGAACTGGAGCTGTGTCGTCTCAGTGGGGTCTGGGGCGAGTCCCTGCATCTGAGTCTAGTCTGACTCCTTTGTAAGATGGGCATGACCTCCCACTTCACGGGGCCACGCAGAGCAGCAGGTGAGTTCCCTGATGGGAAAGCACCTAGCCAGGGCTTCCTGAATGCCACCCTAGCCTTCTGGGACTTTCTAATGCCTTCTTCCAATTTGATCCTTTCAGCTGGGATATTAAAAGTATTTCCAACTAGTGGTTTTCTCTCTGGCTAAAGTGCTGTCCTGGTTTCCAAATTACCGTGGGTGAGAGACAACTGAACAACTCAGCTCACTGGATGCTGCCTACGAAGGTTTAGTTTCCTAAGAGCTATGCTGACCTGGCTCACCCAGCTCCTTAAAGCTCCCAGACCCCAACGGAGGTCACGTCCTGAAGCTCCAACAGCCATGAGAGGCCAGGTCTACTTTGCTTCCTGACAGCCTTGCTGTCACTCAAATGAAGCAGAAGGGGCTTCTTCAAGGGACCAGGGATGTCATGAACAAAGTCTCTCAATTCTCTAACATATCCCGCCTCTGTCCTCGCAAATACACCTTTGTGCTAATGCACCTAGAACCCTTTGTAACAGCTCGTGTTGCTCTGCGGTCCTGTTCACAGGTGGCCTCCCTCAGCCTACTCCAGAGTTCCTGGAAATCTCTTCAATCTCCTTCTAGCCCAGTACCTCTAGCCCAAGTCTTGGCAGAGTAAGTGCTAAACAAATGTTTGTTGGCCGAAGGAACACACTGCTAGCCCCGATTTAAGGGCTCACTGGACATACCCAGCCTCATTAGGGGACTTACTTAGAATTATGAAACACACAAACACATACAAAGGCTTAAGGCAGGAGAGACTCTAGATCCTTTATTTCCCTCAGAGAAATCAACTTGGCCAAAGAATCAAGGAGAAGAAATAAAGATAAACTAAACTGTGCTCTAAACTATGAGGAATGTAAAGTTTTTATCAACATATAATTCTACATAATAGCTAAATTTCACTCAAGTATTGAAAAATCAGCCCAAAGTGTCAAAAAAAAAAAAGTTAGCTCTTTGTACACGACACCAGGAGGGGGGCAGCGCGGTCAAGAGTTCAGCACTGTCTTTAGTTTGGAATCTGTCTGCGGTGGGCTACTTCGAAGAGGAGTAGGTGGTCACCTTGGAAAGCAACAGAAAAGCAAGAGGGAAAGGAAGGATGAACACACGAGACGAACAATTCAGAACCTTTTCTTTTCATCTTTTTTTTTATTTTAAATTACAAAGGATGTTGCATACACTGATGAATCTGTATCTGACTAGAAGTGCCGAGGGGTTGGAAGGTGACAGAAAACAAAGGCAACGTTTGAATTGCCTTTTCTTCTGAAAAGAAAAACTGCACAACTATTAACCAACATTTAATAGAATAATTTTTAAACAGCTCATGCGTCAACAAGATAAAATTCTTTCTAGACAAAAGACAAGACTGAATCCAATAAAAAGTTTCATAGCTCCAGTTGGGGGAGGGAGGGGAACAGAACTACAGAATATTCATGGTAGCGTTACAAACAGGAGCCTACGCAGCTATGCAGAAGAGGTCGCCACATTGGTATGAACAAATGCTTTGAATTCTTGCCTTTCCACTCTTCTCTTATGACTTCTTATGTGCGGTCAGCCCTAGTATCACTGTTAACCACAAATGCTAAGTTCTAGGACAAATCCTAGGGAGAGAAGGTTAAAAAAAAAAAAAGAAAAGCAGGCAGTGGAATACAGTGTCATAAAAATGTGGTGAAAAGGCAGATACAGTACACACATACACATTTCTGTTATTTGGTTCTGAAAAAACAAAGGGCGAAGGGCAAGACACAGTAATCAGTCCCGCTCCCATCCACCCAGAATTTAATTAACTACACCATTGTGTTTACATGGTTATGAAAGAGGCGAACCTGGTTCACCCGAACTTGGCACACTGAAATACCTAACTCCGATGTTCTTCACTGGTCACCAAGTCTTCAGTTCCAAAATACTATTCGGAAGTAGTTTTAAGGTTCTATTCCCTCACCACTACCCCCAAATCTCTCTTTTCTAAAAGAAAACGGCAATTTGGCATAATTCATTTCTTAGGTGTAATTTCTACAATTTCAGTCAGTTACTAAGCACGAGGATTATGCTTCAACACATAACCCCACTTGCCTACGGAAGTGTAAAACTTTCAGTAGTACAGTTTCATCATCTTTCCCCAACATGCTTATTCCTTAAAACGAAACAACCATTCCTACAGTTGACATTCATTGTTACATCCCAATGTGTTTGAAATATTAAAAAAAAATGGAGTCATCTTCTCATAATGCCCTTATTGAGATTACAAAGATTACAAAAGAATCCACAAGTGTTACGGCACTGTGTGAGACTTATTTGTCATGATCCAAGGGAAGAACAAGACTGCAGGACTGTGCGAAGTTGTGGAAGTGGCCTCAGTTCCATGGGAAATGGTATTCCACAACAGACTTCACTAGAAGAACAACTGAAACCTTTTACTTTAACACTGAAAGCATAATTCAATGCATTCTCAAAATTCAAGTTTCAAGATTTGGAGAGATGCTAACATTCTGTTACATAATTAACTAGAAAATACTTGAACAGAATTTTAGGAAGACTATATAAAGAAAGGGAACATAAGTTTTTGTTAATTCCTGCTGAAGGCAACTTGAATTCGTTTCTTAGAAAGTTGACTAAATCTTAGCAGCTAAAATATTTTTAAATGTATGGAATAAAGAAAAGCACATCCATTCTTGACATTTTGGTGAATAAACTAACAGCTTTATTAATGAAGGCAAACATCAGATAATTGTATGAATATTATATATAAAAAAGAAATTCAAACTAACAGCATTGTATTTCAAAAGTACTGTACTTCTGTTTTCTTTTAAAGAGACTTGTCATCTGTTTTATAAAACAAACAAAACGGGTACTCTTCTCCTAAAAAATTCTGGAAAAAATGAAATAGTCAAATTTCAAGCTGATGAATGGAACACACCTTTCTTTAAATGCAGACTATTGCTAAGGAGCAAATAAAGTCAAGCATCAGAAAGAAGATGTATGACAAATCCAAGAAAGTTAGGAAAGAGGGATGTAGTGAAACCACTGCTCATCTTCCCCCCTCATATTCAAAGACCATTCAAAACTGGTCTTTCATACAAATATAAAATAACAGTAAAGAGAGGGAATCTGAAACCATACCCATCTGAAATCCTTCATGATGTTTTTATAATAGTTCTGATTCTCTTACCAAAAAGGTCAAAGTGAAAGATTTAGGAAGTGGGAGGGAATGAAGATGGTTGGTTTTAAATGTACAAGTAAGGCACAATATAAAGCCACATCATAATCTGTCATGAAGGGTCTAGGCGAGGACAAGCATCATACATGGTACAGGAGAACAAGCAGTCATACCGACTGACACAGTGTGGCACCCAATTCAAAACTCAGACGAGATCTTAACGAGAACAACTGGACAGCATGCTTTCATATGGAGACAAACTCTATAAAGAATCCAGTGTATCTGAAACGAGGAAGAATGTTTTTTCTTTTTCGTTTTTTTTTTTTTTCAAATCATAGTAGTACTAGAAGTCAAAGTTGACAACTACTTTTGGAACAATGGGTTTGTTTGAGGTGAATTCACAATGCCTTCACTTAAAGTAAGCCTCTGGACTTCATTATGAGCTATCTGTATACCATGTATGAACACAGAAAACCTTTAGAGAGCTCTTCTCTAATGATCTTCACCCAAGAACACATGCCACAATTTTCAAAAACAGAACACGTACAATTGTTGGGGTTTTTACGTTACCCTTATAAGATCTGTTTGTGTGATACACTAAACGTATATATTTTAATGACAATAGAGGAAGCAGATTATTACTGGCATTAAAGTACAACCATTTCTAGACGGTTTTAAATGCCACAGAGTCCCCTGGTTAAAATGTAAAGCTGCACAGCTTGCCTATATCATCTTTATGATAAAGTTAAAACAGCAAGAGGATTTAACTTTCACTCTACATTTTACTGCCAGGTTTTATTTAGATCAAGTATCGCTGCAGCATTCTGACCAGCCCAGATTTAGCAGCAAATGGCAGGAATCATATAAAATGCAATTTTTTTTAACAAAGTGCTTTTCTAAGATATACATACATATATAAATAGGTACAAAATAAAGTGTCAACATTAAAAAGCTCAACTATTTAAAAGCTTTTAACTATTTAACTTAAGTAGTACATATAAAACACTGAAATGCAAGGATATGGAATCTACTAAACAGATTCAAAGTCTTTTTTTGAAATGCAAGACCAAAAAATCAAATTCTGGTTTGCAGACAGGAAAAAGGTATCAAAAACCAGAATTCCTAACAGAGCAGCTAGAAAGGGGCAATTTTATAAACCTCATCAGCTGAATCTCTTATCATAAAGTGATTTTCACCTGATTGCAAAACTGCCATATTTGGGATCATGTTTCAATTTCCCAGACATACTCTGTCAAAACTTCATATACTTCCAAGTTACAAACCTGTGCTTTGCCTTCTCCCACCTAAAAAGGAAAACCTTTAAACAGTCAACTTACATTCTATTAAACTGCTGGATCTGAGCTTATAACATCTGTTTAGTGTGAGTGCACTAACCAGGTACTTCTCCACCGAGCACGCAGGGAAATCCTGTGCATCACAGTTCAGCTAAGGTGTTAAGACAATCCTTCTCGGAGTTTCTTTTTCATAATGTCAAAGAAGCACGAAAGCAACACTGCTCAGTTGTTACTGTGTGTTTTAGCATCAAACCTTTAAAAGCTACAGCTTCATGTGCTATCACTTATAAATGGGCAAGGGTGATAGGGAGGGAGAAGGAAAAAAAAAGGAAATACACTGTATAGACAGAATGTAATTACAAATAAATTCTCCAAGGGATAATGGAGAAACAGTTGGAGAAATAGATACTTTCCCAGCAGCTAGCTCTGGAATATTTGGTATTTTTCTGGCTAAATAGGATTTTTTTTTAAGTATAATTTTTAAGCCACCGGTTTTCAGAGTTCAAAACACAAGATTTGAAAATAAAACAGTAAGAGAGACAGGATGGAAATATCTGTAGGGAAGGTTTATAATGCTGCCTTGACATAAGAAATTTCTCATCAAGAGGTAAAGCTTTAACACAGTTAAAACACTGACTAATGAAGCTGTTTTATGTGAGCAAAAAAGAGCACCTAAAAACTAAATGTGTTAATATTTCTCAGTTCTAGAAACTATAGAAGAGGAATAAGTCACATGTTAAGTTTGAAGAAGCTAGTTTGAAAATACCTGTACAAAAATATAAAAATCTATAAATTGTTTTTGTTTTTGTTTTAAGCTTGTGTTGATCTTTGAAAATATTACATGCACAATAATACATCAATTGGAAAAGTGGCAACTAAAGAATTAGATATTTTTAGCTTTTTTCTTTCTTTACATATATATACATAATACAATAAAAATAATCTGTATTTTGGTTGTTTGGTGGAATTATACTACAATAAGCTAAATAAACTTTTTAATTTTCAAGGTCAAAAACTATTTTACCAATAGCTTACTAAAATGAAATATATTAAAATTTCCTACAATAAGTGCAGAAATAAAAAGACTTACAGACACCTAAATGGTCACCAACTTATCTACTATGGAAGCGAACTAGAGGAACAGCAAAATAATATTTGTATGTGTGGATGCTCCTTCTGTAGATAATTGGACCCAAACAGAAATAAAATTCACAGTTCAGTAAGATCCCTAACCCTGACCTTTTCGTTTTTCTTTTTTTTTCTCCTTTTTTTTTTTCATACATTCATACAGTATCATGTAAGCTGTGCAAAACTTTACTTAGACTGGCAGTTTGCCATATCAGTTGCATTTGTCTTTGGTACAAAAAATAAAACAATCGCAATAATGTGCAAGTATTTGTCTTCTTCCGGTCAAGTACCGAAATATGAGTTTTCTAGAGCCATCTTTTTTTTGTTTTTTTTGTTTTGTTTTTTATACAATACACAGACTCTGTGGCATATATCTACATTTCAACATAGTCCTATATACATTCAAAAAATTTGAAAAAGAGTTGGAACAAAAAAACATTTAAACCCCATAATTTTCCATCTATATATCTTGTTTTTCCTCATTAGGATTTTCATCATACAAAATATTACCAGTTTTATAGTTTCCCCAAAATACAAGGCACAAAGAATATGCTTTTTTTTTCTTACTTGCACAGACATTATATATATTTATATATATATTTATATAGACCATATTGAGCTCGGAAAATGAACATCTAATATGGCACATGGGCGTGAGTGCTGGGTTGTGCCATGTACAAGTGAGATTAATGGTTGTGGAAAATTAGAACAAAAAGCAGTAATTCTAAAAACAATCTAAATTGAATGTTTAAAAAAATGCTTCCTCAATTTTTTTGTGTGATTCAGAGCATAAACCTGCCACAATATTTGGCATTTACTATGATCTTCGCTCTTCCAAAATGCTTTGCTCTAACGGACTCTGCAATCTGTATCTAAACATCTCCTAATGTGTGAGTTTCAATTCTGATACCAGTAGCAGTTTTAACCATGGTTTATGCTCTGAAAATGTAATAATCAAGTATTTTGGATCATGCTTCACTTATGCTACTTAGTTCTTAAAACAATGTAACCTAATTGTAAATGTTTACATAATGCTAAGCTGACATGCAAAACAGAATGAAAATTTACAATGAATAACATGACAAACACAGACATTTCTGACCAGTGGTCCAATGAGGCTGACTACACTTTTGATGTTGGTATCCTTAGTCCTACAAGGCCTCCAGTGGGATTGCCTTCTGCCGTCTTCTCCAACACTTGGTTAACAAATTCTGAGGTTTGCCCAGCAACTGGGAGACCTAAGAAAAGAATAAAAGGCACACTTAGACACATATGAAGGTGAGGGTCAGGGGGAACCCTCTCTCAGGACTGGTCCCAGATGAGTGCTTGGCTGCTTGCTACTGAGCCCAGAAAATAATTCTACCCACTGAGTTAGGGCCTACAATTTTAAGATTAGAAGGGTTAAACCAAGGATAACCATGAAGAATGGTTAATCAACATTTTACAGCAGGGTAGAGACAAGTAATAATAGTCCAAACCCAAGCCCCAGGCCTGCCGACAGGGACTGGTCCCTAAGCCCACTACGCATGTATTCCCCTGTTCTCTCAGCGAGTGTCTTCCAGCCGCTCCAACCTCACTGCATCTCATGGACGGGCTTCACCCACATGACTGAAAACATAGATCTGAAGGATGTTTTCAGTCACTTTCATAGTGATTGGATAAATTTTATGTCCCCTTTTCCTTATTTTAAAGAAGAGTGAATGAATCAGCCAAGTTGGAAGAGAAGAGGAAGGAAAGGTGGGAGACACTGCAGGTATGTTGGGTTTTTTCCATCTTCCTTATCTTCTACAGCTGAGGTCAAAAATATTTGATTTATTGATTTTAAGTAACACAGGTATAAGTGTTCCAAAAGTAATAAAAATAGTAAGTGATTAAAAGGATATGGAAGCAGAAAAATACTATTTAGTCATTGCTCATAAGAAGCCAAAAGATACTGTAAAAAATAGAGAACTGATACCACCTCAACCCTGTAGTCAAATTCTGTGTGACAGTAATGGGACAAACTGATAATAGATGCTTCTTAATCGATGGAATGAGAAGGATATATAACCTGCAATGTATTTTTGCCAAGAAAATGTAACTGCATCGAATCACGAGGAAACAAATATAGATAGTGGGGCATTTTACAAGGTCAACTACCTGGATTTTTTCACGGGAAAAAACAGGCTGGGAGACTCATCTAGATTAAAGGAGACAGAAAAAAAAAAAAGACAACTAAATGTAATGCATGATCCTTAACTGGATCAAAAACAAAAAGGTTATAAAGGACATTACTGAGACAACTGGGGAAATTCAAATATGGACTCCACATAGGTATTGTATCAATGTGAAGCAGGAAGTGATATGAGTCTTATGTCTAAGTAAGAAAATGTCCCGTTCTTGAGAAATCCACGCTGAAGCAGTAGTTAGGGAGGAAGAGTCACATGTTTACAAGTTACCTTCAAATATTTAGGGGAAAAATGTAGACAGAGGCAGAAATAAAGCAAATGCAGCAAAATATTAACAACCGGTGAATCTAGGTGAATGATACACAGATGTTCATTGTACTGTTTCTTTCTACTTTTCTTGTAGGATTGATATCGTAAATGAAGAGTTGAGGGAAAAAATTAAGTATACATGTTATGTTACAGTTAAAGAGTGAACCTGCAAGACAAAAATGCAGGGCCTGCAAATTATCAGGGACACATACAAAAATGAAACTGTAATAATGGATCACACAGGGAATGACATAAAAAGGCAAGAAAGCCATGTGAACAAACCCTAACAGATCTTCTGATGACAGAACTAAAACCCAACATACATCAATAAATAAAAATGAGCTACTTGAGGAGTGTGGCCTTAGTGGGGGTGTGGTCTCTTGGCAGCGAGTGGACTGTTCTGAGTGGGTGGGTCCATAATGGGGCGGGTCCAGACGTGGAAATGTTAGCCCTCTCCCTTCTGCCCGGTAGCATGAGGCATCGTACTCTAGCCTCCGTCCCTGCCCTGTGGGCCTCCATCCCCGTCCACGCTCTGAGCTGCACCTGGACCTGATTCTGGCTTCTGGACAGTCTTTCCCGTAGATGGAGCAAAGCCCTGCGCACGGGAGTGGCGTGCTGGCGGACCAGGTATGGACACTGCCTCAGACTGAGGAACAGCTCTACTGCACTGTGTACCGAGGGGACAAGGGCCAGGTTGGCAAACCCACACCAGAAGAGCTAAAGGCCATGCGACAGTACTTCCAGCTGGTTGTCAGCCTGGCTCAACTGTATCACCATTGGAGTTCCATGGACCCTCACTTTCAAGAGGTGGCTCAGAAATTCCAAGGTGTGAGACTCATGCAACAGGACCCCATCGAATGCCTTTTCTCCTTCATCTGTTTCTCCTACAACAACATTGCCCGCATCACTGGCACGGTGGAGCGGCTCTGCCAGGCCTTCGGACCTCGGCTCATCCAGCTTGATGTCGTCACCTACTGTGGCTTCCCCAGGCTGCAGGTCCTGGCTGGGCTGGAAGTGGAAGCTCAGCTCAGAAAGTTGGGCCTGGGGTACCGTGCCCGTTATGTGAGTGCCAGTGCCCAAGCCATCCCGGAAGAATGGGGCGGACTTCCCTGGCTGCAGCAGCTGTGCAAGGCCCCTTACAAGGAGGCCCACAAGGCCCTCTGCACCCTGACAGGGGTAGGCACCAAGGTGGCCGACTGCATCTGCTTGATGGCCCTAGACAAGCCCCAGGCTGTGCCTGTGGACATCCACATGTGGCAGATCGCCCAGCGTGACTACAGCTGGCACCCCACTACCAACCAAGCCAAGGGTCCGAGCCCCCAAGCCAACAAGGAACTGAGAAACCTTTTCCGGAGCCTGTGGGGACCTTATGCTGGCTGGGGCCAAGCAGCGCTGTTCAGTGCTGACCTGCACCAAGCCCACCGAGCTCAGGAGCCACCAGCAAAGTGCAGAAAGAGATACATGGGGCTGGAAGGCTAGGTGGGAGCACTGGACACAGGGATTCCCCAAACACCCCCCTCAATTCCCCACTTCTCTCCCCCATCTAGTCTTGTTGGAAAGGGGGCTCAGGAGTCAGGCACCCTCAAATCAAGCAGTTGGTCAACAATATAGGGTGTGGTTTGTCAGGGGAAACAGAGCTACCTGTGGTTTTAACCTCTTCTATTACAAGAAGGAACAATAAAACAGAAACATTTGTATGGAAAAAAAAATGAGCTAAATTCACCTATTAAAGAAGAACTTCTAGACTGGCTAACAAAGAAAATCCAACTATAAGTTATACATAAATATCTAAGAGTGAATTTTATGGCATGTGATTAAAATTAAATTAAAATTTTAATCTAAGATCTTTTAAAAAGAGATGTATCTAATAAAAGTAATTTAGAAAGATTGCAAATAAAAGACTAACAAGCAAAGGAATACCTAGCAAATACAAATAATAAGCTGCATTCATGACTGTAATATCAGACAAGACCGAATTCAGGGAAAAAACTGTAAACAAAAGATGTGTGCTTCTTGATGATAAAGACTGCAATCTACAATGAAGACCTAGTCGTAAAAATCATACTCAAACATCCAGCATTCAAAAACCAAAACACAAAATATGAGAAGAAATTGAAACACATGAGTGGGGGCCTTTCTCAGTACTACACAGAGTAAATGAACAACTCTTACAAAAATCAAAAGGAAAAGAAGATTTAATTAAGATTAGCAAATTAACATATATTGGAGTTTTAATATAAAACAGAAAATATGTCTTCTTTACAAATGCCCACAAGGTATTTAAAATTATAATCATATAATAGGTAGCTAAAAAAATCTCAATAAATCACAAAAGAACATAATAATAAAACCAGAAGATAATATTCCCTGTCTTCTGGAAAATTTTAAATCTCTCTCAAAAATTCCTTGGGTCAAAGAGTAAATCAAACCTAAAATTTCAAAGTATTCAGAAAACAATTAAAATATGATTCATCGGAATCTGTGAGATACAACTAAGCAGTGCTTGGAAGAAATGTCAAAGATTTTTAATTATATTAGTGAGTGAGAAGGAATAAAAAGAAATGAATTAAACATCTAACTGAAGAAATTAAAAGAACTGATATATTCAAGAGCTAGTTCTTTGGAGGAGAGGGAGTAGAATAACCTGAAACCAATCATTTCAAGAAAAAAAGGTGAACATGATAGATATAAAAAAAGAAATGAAAAATGTAGCGCTAACCACCGATACAAAGGAAATTAAGAAACAAAGATTGTTTTGCTCAATTTTAATAAATCTGACAGCCTGGAGGAAGTGGGTAGTCTTCTGCGATATACAAATTATCAAAACTGATTCCAGAAGAACTTGTAATCTGACAGACAAATTATCATAGAGGACATAAAGAAAGTTTTCAAAGAGTGAATCACAAAACCACACTGGGCCAGACAGTTTCAAAAGAGTATTCTACAACCTTTCAGGAAAAGGAGCTCCAACATATTTAATCTGCTCCAAGGTGGGGAGGGTACAGCTCAGTGGTAGAGTACATGCTTAGCATGCATGAGGTCCTGGGTTCAATCCCCAGCACCTCCATTAAATAAATAAATAAACATAATTATCCCCCCCCCAATTTTTTTCAATAAAAATTAAAAATAAACTGCCCCAGAGGGGAATTCTGGGAAGATAGTCATATTGCAACATGGATTTTTAATCTCCTCAACTCCTCACATAAAAACAGAGCAATCAAATAAAAAAACCATGGAAAACTTTAACAAGTGACAAGTTATCTCCATGAACCTCAAAATTCAAGAAGACAGGGATGAACTACCAAAGGCACTGAGCCGCCTGGCATTCACATTATTACTACTTGTGTGGGACGAGTCAAAAGGAAGTAGTGGACCTGAGAACCTGGCCACCTGAAGTGGCCAGCAGGTTAATCGCTGGGAGGGACGAGAGGACAACTGGAGGGCAGCCGAGGCTGTGAGAGCCCGTCTAAACGAACAATGAGTATAAGGTGAGTGTGGGGCCCACAGTCAGATGTGAAGGGGCTGGAGCAGTCCAGCATCTGTGAACTCAGAAAACATGGCCAGCCAGGACTCCCTCGTAGGACACAGGCCAGCACTGTTGAGAATTAAAATAGAGTGGCCTAGTGACATTCAAATGCACCCAAGAAGTCCCCTCACACCTTCTGCCTTTGCACTTCGCCCTGACCCCTGATAAAGGCACCTGCCCACAGCTTCCTTTGTTCTCTCCCTGTTTCCTCCTGACCTGATGGGTTGCGCCTGCTCCCTTAGTGCTCCCCTTGTGTGGCCCCCTCGCGGCATGTGGTGACTCTGTCTCTCTAGGATGAACTTTCTTTTCCTGCTCCTCTCCTGTGTCCCCTCTTTTGGCTGGACCAGAATGACCATCTCATGAACGCATACGAGACATTTTTTTACGTTTCCTGAAAACACGGGACACTCTGTTAAGTTTGAAGTTAGAAAAACTATCTTGAAGCAAACTTTCTTTTTAAAGTTCAGAAAAACTCATTTCACATACAAATGATTAACAGAAAAGCAACAAGGTCAAAATCCCATAAAAAAGGAGTAAGAAAAAAAGGGAATAAGAGACTCCTGCAACCAATGAGAGCATGCCTGGAAGACATGACCACAAAATGGGTGAAAACCATACCCACTGTTATTTCAAAATTAACTAAAGACATTAAGCAAATGCTTTAAGACATAAGAAACACAAATCAGAAATATAAAAATTCAGGAAAGAATTAGAAATAAAGCCCCATGTTAATTATAACATTATAGTAGCCAAGACATGGAAACAACCTATATGTCCATCAATAGATGAATGGATAAAAAAATTGTGGTGTACAAACACAGACACAGACACACACCCCACTGGAATATCATTCAGCCATAAAAAAGAATGAAATCTTGCCATCTCTGACAACATGCATGGACACGGAAGGCATGATGTTACGTGAAATACATCAGACAGAATAAGATAAATACCGTATGATGTCACTTATATGTGGAATCTAAAAATAAACAAACCAAAAACCACACAAAAAAACAACAAAACCCCCTCAAGCTCACTGATACAGAAAACAGACTGGTGGCTGCCTGAGGCAGGAGTAGGGATTGGGCAAAATGGATGAAAGGTGGTCAAAATATACCAATTTCCAGTTATAGGATGAATAAGTCATAGAGATGTAATGTGCAGCATGGTGACTACAGTTAATAATATGGTACTGTATATCCAAAAGTAGCTAGTAGGGAGGATCTCAAAAAACATCACAAGAAAAAATATTTTGCAACTACATATATTGATGAATGTTAGCTGGACTTGTGGTACACATCATTTTGCTAAAAAGATCTAAAATTACATTCAGAAAGAGCACAGAGCATACATGTGAATATCAACCTAAAATGACCAACTCCAAGACACGGTCTAGTAAAATGACTGGGATTTAAAGAAAAACAATCCTGTTGACATCTGGGCAAAAATGGCAAATGACATAATGGGAAAAAAATTAGGCAATTATTAGCCTTTCAATAGCAATACTTTCTGCCAGAAGAAAAATGCAGAAACATATTTAAAATACTCCAGGCAAGAAAATGTGAGTCAAAGACTGTACCTGGTAAAACTGACAACCAGGTATATAGGGAAAAACACAAGCTTATCAATATATAAGACCTCTAAATTAATAAAAAAAGGTAGGAAGAATTTTTTCTTGTAACATTAAATCCCTCCGTCTACCTAACAAAAGAAAACTGAAAATGATTTTAAAGAATAAGAAAGGAAACAGAAATGCTATGAAAGAAGATATAAAACACTAAAATAGTATCAATTCATTTGAAGTAAAAGTCAAGCAAATTCATCATTACTATTCCCTGTTTTGCTTAGTATTTGGGTGTGGAATTAATCTACACGGAAGTTAAGAAGGAAGTGGTTGTTTAGGAAAATATTAGCATATTTTACATTCAGTATGAACACAATGCTGATAAGAGAAACTAATATATAATTTCAAAGACCATGAGAAACTTACTAAATGAATGGGAGCATTCAATATGTATTTTCAATTAAACAAAATGCAATCATTTTGGTAGCTATGAGTAGTCTCTCTGTAAAAACAGAAATAAAATATTCTCACTCACTCCACTCTATTTAGCATCTTGAGTTCTTTATTGCAGTTGCCACAATGTTATTTGTTTTTGTTTTTCTGTTTGTTGTCTTTCATTGGTTTAGATTACAAACTTGGTAAGAAGAGCAGCAACCAAGTCTCAGCGTATTAACCCTGTATCCCCCCAAAGCCTGGCACACAGTAGGCGCTGAAAAAATTTTGTGGAATGAATGAGTTTATAATAACTGGAAGTCAAAAAATTGTCTTAACGAATTCCAAGATATTTACCATTTAAAAAAATTAAATTATAGTGTTGGCACCCTAAAATTAAAGTAAGTAACTAACTAATGATGGAAAAGTAAACTCTGCTTCTTTTAAGTTACCTAATTCAATACACAGTCAGCATCATCAGGAAAAATGAACTGGAAGAAAATGCTCAGGTAACTAAAGTTTACCACTCTACACAATGACTATGTCAGAACTGGTATTTAAGAGACAGTCCTAGAATAAATACTGTTAAACAAAGAATATATAATATAGCTGAACCAATTTCATGATGCTTCAGGGTTTTCATGGATTGTGCTATGCCGTAAAGCCCCTGGGATGCTACTGATCATGGGGTGATTTGCTCCTACGACAGCTGAGCTCCTGGGCCTCGGGGGTTCTCATGTCTTTGTGTGCATCAGCTCCCTCTATCCTCCCCGTCAGGCATCGCTCTGCCTGCCTTCAGCATGCACGCCTCGCTGTTCCTCCCCCATGTTATACAATCTGTTCAGGGATGGAAAACCAGATGATCACGTTTGTTAGAATCCTATAAATGGGTAGGAAACTCCACCGAAGGATAAACTGCAGGCTTGACAAGCTCAGGGATCTTTATTTTCCCCACAGAAGGTTAAAGTTGCTAGAAGTTTATCTTTCCTAAGTGTTAAAACCATTCAGTGATGAAGTCTGAGTAATAAATTGTGCTAACCAACAGGACACGTGTACAAATGCTAAATCTCAAGAGACAAAAACTACTTGTAGAGGAGAGTGACCACCATGAGAGCACTTGAGTTTTTCCTTAAAACAATTTGTATCCCTTTGAATCATGTATCTTACATTACATGTTATTAT